ATGGTATAGCGGGGGTCATAGCCGTGAAGGTCTGAACTGGTGGAACTAAGGAGTGTAGTTTGCCGAAAAATTGCCATGTAAATAGCAAGAGTAGCACTCGGCTTACCACTTTTCATCTGTCTGATAGGGTTTCGATATTGCTTAAGCTTTATGTTTTATTTTCGAAATATAGCGGAATCTTTACAACGGGTTACTGGAGGCTGGAATGATACAGTGTGTCTGAGAAGGCTTGTAACTTTTAATAACTGAAACATTGATTTCAGTAACCAATTTCTGGATGACTTAATAACTTGAAAACTGATGATATGAAGAAACTACCAGTTAGAGCATGCTAACTTACTCCGCCTATAAAGGACGATAACTCAAAATACTTTTGAGTTACTTCCCTTGCGTGCTGTTGGGCTGGCACTTCGGAATTCAACATGGTGACAAGCTGAATAAGAGTTGTTTTATTATGTGTCTACACTTGTCTTTTATTTGCATTCGTTTTTGTTCATCCCAACAACCTGGGGTATAACACTAGCCAAGACCGAAAGAGCTCATTCATTGAAAACAAGCAACAGAGAAGTGAATATGTTAAATGGGGAAAAAGTTTAGAAGCCAGGAAAATGGGTTCGATATGGATGTACGGTAATGAAGACCAGCAGCTAAACAATTGTTTTTGCCTTATTTGCCAATGAAAAATGAATTTATTATAAGAATTCCAAATGTACTGTCCCAAGATCGAAACCGGAACATCAATTCCTAAGTGAAAAATTGTTTCTTGTGTGAATTAACATTCACAGGAAAATCTTTATAACGCATTAATGGAAGTTGAAAAAATATTTTGAAAACAGATGCAGAGCAAAAGTATATGTGAATTTCAGTCAAAATGCAGGGGAGACAATCGATTCGTTTGAATGATGCATTGAAAGAGAAAATACCTGGGATTTTTACCTGAGTGACAATGTTTTTAATCAAGTTACAAACACAAAGCAAACAATATTCATAGAAAAAATGTAGAGGAAGTTCTACAATTCTAGAATTTTCTCTAGTCATCATTGCCATTGTTTTATTCAATGAAACATTTCTTCAATGGCTAAAAATTGCAACAAGATCAATAAAAAGAGACCTAAAATAATTAACTGAATCAAGATTGGAGACGTTCTTTTATAATGAATTACACAATTTAACTTAAACGTGTTATAAAAGAAGACCAAAGAAAGAGTTTAATGACTAAATAAAGATACTAGGAATTTATATGAGGAAAATTAATTGTTAAAATATGTGTATCAACAACTTAAAATAAGAAATTCATAGAACAAAATTCGAAAGTTGAATGTTACTCCGATAAAGATTTGATGAATAAAGAAGAATTCGATTTGAACTTGTTAATTAATTTCTGGCTTGACATTCAGTCGAAATTCAAAAGAAAAATAAAATCTGTTTGACACACGAATAAAAGAAAAAATATATTTGAAAATATACACAAATTACTATTAGAAGATAAGTGTAATGCTAAAAAGATGGTCATGTAATAAGAAGCACAAAATTGATGACACTGTAAATGACTAATTTTTTAAAAAGAACTTCAAAGCCAGAAATGATCGAATAAAATAAGCTCTCTATGTGGTTTGTATCCAGCTATTTAATATTAAAAAAAAGATAACCTACCTGAAAGAATGTTGCATTTGTCCCCATCAAACTATTCCTCTTGAGACTGCGCATTAATCACAGCATATAAAACAGTTTGCAACGGTTTCGGGAGTATCATCAGCTGCCTAGTTACGTTCTAATTAATCTCGTTCACATCGTTTCAACGCTGGGTTTAATGTTGTGAAAAGATACATTTCATAAGATGCCAAATTTGAAATGTAGGATGGTCTGTGACAGGTTTGAGAAGATTAAAGAAAATTTCACAAGAGATTAAGAACAGACAGACATATCGCCATTATAAATGTTTGCACACGCATGCGCGATTAGGTTTCCTTTTATTCGCTGCAAAGTTAAGTAATTTTAATATGAAACCGGTCCTTGAAGTATTCGAAATAAGTTACTTCTTCACCTTAGAGTTATTTAGACACCTTCGGTTAGGTTGGTTGATTTTTTTCTAATATGGAACTGGCCCGAGATATAAATGAACCAAAGGCATTCTTTCTAGACATTACATTTATGTAGACATGTTAGGTTCGGTTGGTTGATTTTATGACATAAAATAATCATTGTCGTATCGGTTAATGTCGAATTGGGGATCGACCTCAGTACTCAGTAGTAATGGTTAAAAAAAAGTAGCCTCGTTAAACATTACACCTCCACGAGTTGTCATTTTGAAATGTTAGTGTAAAACAATCAGTAACACATGGATAATAATATACGAGGCAAACTTGAGAAATAGGCAAAAGCATATAATATAGGTTTACTGATGAAGAAATAAATTGATGAAAAAATACTGTATGTTCATTGCCTGTAAACCAAAATAAAATCAAACTAAAGATGGCTGTGCACACAGACGATGGAGAAATAGGTTCACTTTTGTCTTGCCGGGTGAATCCCAGAGTCAAAAACGTATATTTCAACTTTCAAGCAAATAAAAAAGTAAGATTTTAACCCCAAACGCATTTTCTCAACCACCCGGAAAACACCCGACGCACCCCGACTGTGACGAATCCACACAGCTTATCAGAAACAACAACATTTTGTCTTACAAATATGATTACTTTTTGAAATATTTATTAAGAGATTTTTTAAAGATTCTTTCTTCTTTTTTAAACATCTGGCTGAGAGTTTTAGTGAGCGTCCTCAGCGGACATGTGCTTGTTTTATTTCGGGGCTGATAATATTTGAAAAATAGCAATAGTCAGATTTTGTGTGTTTACTTTTTCTGAAAAAAAAAAAAGATTATTTCCGCTTTAATGAATAAAACACACACTAAGGACGGATAGGCGTCAGTCGTAAGAGGGAAGACAGGGGCGAGGAAAGACGACATGAATGTAGAATCAACTTAACACTGATTTTCACGGCTGACGGCCGCCATTGCTTTATTTCGAATTGCATGAAATCATTTTATGAATAGAACACTGATAATGGAATTGATTAAAAACCGAACAATATCCTCTTGACAGAATATCGCATTGGATTGAAAATTATTCCTCAAAGACTCTGGGCCTTTCTCCAGCCGCGAAATTTATTGTTTGTTGAATAAGTAATAGGTCGATTTTTGTTTATGGAAACACTACAATTGCTTTTTTATAAACTTTTATAGTCCTTTTTCCCCTTTTCTTTCTTTTTTTTTTAAATATGGTGTAATTCTAATCTTTTTTTGTGGCGTTGTGTAAAAAAACAAACTTTCTATGTCGTTTTTCGGGGCGCCTAATTTATGGACGATAACGCTTGTATTTTTCCAAATCATTACATAACATAGGGAATTATAAATTACATATCTGGACGGATGTTTGCTTATGGTAGTTTTCTAAGCGTAGCTTAGATCTGGCACAAGGCTGACAGTATGGAGTACCCAGTTAGGACCGAACTCAGTCGTAATTGATCTCGCGAGACAAGCTTGTTAACGATTACAATCACGTCGAAGTAACTTACGAATGTCTATTGATGTATGTGTGCAGAAACTTGAATATTATTTTGTGTCCTTTGTTTGTAAACACATATACATATATGTCTATATTTCTGAGATGAGATATTGTAATTATTTACACTGTTCGGGCTGTTGTAATCTCTATTGCTATAGTCATAAATAATGTAAACACATACATACCTATTAGGCAGTTGAATGGCAAAGTGGATAAATTTCGTGTAACATGTTTCGTCATCAAGAAAAATTTCATCAGACTAAAGTAATGTTCTTATTGACGAAATTATATATGTTCCGTATAGAGAAAGGGGAATATAAACACGACCGTCGTTTATCATCATGTACTCATTATTCCTCTCATATATATATATATATATATATATATATATATATATATATATATATATATATATATACAGACAGTCAACATTGACGTCAACACAGACTGTTTTATGCTGGACGCAATCGACGCCCTGACGATTGCGTCCAGCATGAAACAGCCTGTCGCCTCTGAGTATTGACTTTAATGTTCACTTTTATATTTATATTTACATACGCTCTATCTCTGATATTGAGCAATCTATTCCATAAATATACTACACCTTAAAATTTTATTTAGAAAGATATATATATATATATATATATATATATATATATATATATATATATATATATATATATATATATAAGTTTTATTGAAGTCAACACTCAGAGGCGACAGGCTGTTTCATGCTGGGCGCAATCGTCAGGCTGCCTCTGAGTGTTGACTTCAATGTTCCTTTTATATTTATATTTACATATGCTCTATCTCTGATATTGAGCACTTTATCCCATAAATATAGCACACTTTAAAACTATATATATATATATATATATATATATATATATATATATATATGTGTGTGTGTGTGTATGTGTATAGAGAGAGAGAGAGAGAGAGAGAAAGAGGGAGAGAGACATGGTAACTCATTTTTGTAGTAAATTTTAGATCAACTAATAGAAGACAAATATAAAATATTTTAGAGAAATCAGGCTGTTTCTTTCTGGGTGATTTTGTTATTTTATCTCAGGTTTGGTTTGTTGGTGAACAAAAGTGGCCGAAACATCTCTGTGGCTAAATACCGGTTTAAACAAAGACATTTCAACAGTTTTTTAAACGAAAAGAATCATTAGTGATACTTTTTGTAGTTAATTTATATCGATAGAAATCTCATTCGGGTACTTAGCAAGAAGAAGCATATTAAGAGATTGGTAGATATTAGTCCTTGAAGACCTCGAGGGAAAGTAATTGAAATAGTGAAATTGTTTGTATTTTTCAAGTCTTTCTCTAAAGTCGTCTTGGATGTTTTTTCAGATAAGAACGTCTCAAGGTAAAAGAAATTGCCAAATCTTGAATGTGTTTGGCACAAATAAGAGAATTCATTAAATGTTATTCTTAACTGAACATATGATATGAAACGAGAAAAGAAAAGAAGGTACATTGAGAGAGTGGTTGGAGAAAGAGAAAAAAGAGAAAAAGAACGAGATACAGAAACGATGAAAGGGAAGTAAAAAGAAAAAAAAAGAGAGATAGCTTAAGAAAAAGAAATGAAAAAGAAGAAGGAAAGCAAAGAAAGAAGAGAAAAGAAAGAAGACTGAGCTCGAGAATAAGAAGAAAAGGGAAAAGAAATAAAATAAAAAGTGAAGCAAAAAAGGAAAGAAAGAAGAGCGTTGATTCGTGAATTTCTTGCCATTGCAATTACGAGTTCAATCCATTGACCGAAAAGTACGCAATAAGTGAGAAGTATTAAATTAGAGACTTCCCTAACATAAGAACGAGAAAAATCTACTCATTTAAATAAAATAAAAGGTTACTTTTGAAATTGCCTGTAGGTTACTCGGATTGACAAGCACCTGAAGAAGTCCAGAGTGATCAACGGTTGAAACGTGATAATAGCAACAACGATGAAGACGAATGCTCGAATGTAAATAAAGAAAAGCCAATTCGAGAAAAAAGACTAAAGGCAAAAAGTAAAAGAGAAAAAGAGAAGAAAGAAAAGAAGAAATGAAGAAAAGAGAATTCGAGAAAATTTGAAAAGGAAAAAAGAAATGAAAAAGAAGAGGTGTAAATTTAATACCCTCCACAGCAGTAGTGAATCAAAACTTGGAGAGTTGAGTTAAAGCGAAATAACTGACTCATCCGGAAGAGGCATGGAACGTGGAACTAGAACAATCTATCCAGGTGGACGAAATAAAGGGTTCGGTTCGAAATTTCAATCACCTGAAGAAGACCGGATCGTACAACGTCCGAAAGGTTGTGAATATGGCAATGAAGATGAGGATAACAGTCCGAATAATGTAAATAAAGTAAGAAGGAAACCAAAGAAAACCAAGCGGATAGAAAGAAAAAGTGAGGTTGAGAAAAAAGAAAACGAGAAAGAAAACGTGAAAGAGGTTTGAAGAAAGAATATAGGAAAGAACGAATATATATATATATATATATATATATATATATATAGATGATAAAATATTGTTTTAAGCTATGCTATATTTATGGATAAAAGTGTTTAATATCAGAGATAGCGCGTATGTAAATACGTATATGCCCTGGAGTTTGCGTTAAACATGAAATAGATAATTCGTTGCCTAGTGTTAACTTCAGTCTTCAATTTTATATTATATATATATATATATATATATATATATATATATATATATATATATATGTGTGTGTGTGTGTGTGTGCGTGGTGTGTGTTTGTGTGAGGTGGATATTACACGTAGCCCCTGTTCCCGTTCGATCGTAGAAGTTATGTAGTATCGAGCCTGACCAGTGGGAGACCTCTGTGAAATATAGGTTATTGTAAACGCTCTCCTGCAATCTGAAGTATGTTTCAGCTTTAAATAGCCGACCAATGGTTGATAAGGCGTGGATTGATAAACCGAGTGTCAGTTGGAAATACGCAAATATCTCTGGCATAAACCGTATTCTGTAAAGGAGATTGTAAGTCTCTTTTCTTTGCTTTCTACTACGTTAGTGAAACCCATCTCTTTTCTTCTCAAACATTTTCTCACGCCCCCCACCGTTCCTCGAAGTGCTCTGTCATCTCATGGCTTGCATGCCTGATTTGTTCTCATGAGACAGATATCACCTTTAGCAAAAGAAAAGTGAAGGGCGCAGTTCGAAATGAATCTTGATTTCATATCGTGTCCCAGGCTCGATTTCAATAAAGAGTTTTTTTTTTTATTTTCTGCTAGTTAAAAGTAAGGCTTTACTTACAAAAGCAAAAGTGAACAATCAAAAGCAGTTATCATCCCGGCAAACCACTTGTATAAAGAGGCTGATATTTATTTGAATCATTTCAACCTAAACAAGGTGATAATACCAGTAATAGGCTACTGGAAGGGACTATGGGCGAACCTATTTACCCCAATTTATGAGAGAAAAATCCTATTATTATTTGTCTATTTTTCTGAGATGAAGTATTATGTACACTATTTACATTATTCGGACTATTGTCCTCATCTTTGTCGCCATATTTATTACAACGTTTCGGCCTTTCAGTATCTGCCTATATTTCTGAGATGAGGTATTATGTACACTATTTACATTATTCGGATTTTTGTCCTCATCTTTGTCGCCATATTTATTACAACGTTTCGACCTTTCAGTATCTGTCTATATTGCAGAGATGAGGTATTATGCACACTACTTACATTATTCGGACTATTGTCCTCATCTTTGTCGCCATGTTTATTACAACGTTCCGGCCTTGGTACGCTCCGGCTTATCCCGTGCAGCTGCGGAAAGAAATATAAAGAGGAGACAGGCCGCCCCCTTAAGGTAAGAACACCAGAAATCTGTAACACAAAGCGAAGTGGAAAAATCAGGCGTGGCTGACCACATATGAAGAAAAAAGGGATATCACCGCCTTCTGTGGGATCAGGTTGAGATCATAGACAGAGAAAATCATTGAAAAATTCGTAAAATAAAGGAATCATATGTTAGGCTACAAAAATCTCCTGAGCCGACCAAGCCTAGAAATGAATACAATATGGTTACCAGTAATAAGGAGTGTCAGAGAAAAGTGATAATAACAATAAAATTGTAATATGAGCGCTGGTAAAAAACTGTGTTCCATTATATGTGGCCCGTGGAACTAGAACAGTCTACCCCAGTGAGTGAAATAAAGGGTTCAGTTCGACATTCCAACCACCTGAAGAAGGCCGGAGCGTACAATGGCCTAAACGTTGTGATAAACATGGCGACAAAGCTGAGGACAATAATCCGAATAATGTAAATAGTGTTTATTATTATTGTCCTATAAAATTATTTTTGATCCGCATTTGTGTAATAATCACACGCTTTGTCACAAGCAATGACTTAAGGCAAGCGAAGGATGGGATATTTTGATGTTTACAGTTAAATAAAAAAAATAAATAAAAAAGAACAGAAAAAACAAAACCAAAACTAAAAAAACAGTTATAAAAAAAGAAGAAAAAACTTAAATGGTCAAAGTTCTTCACATGCTATGAGTTTTCATTTTTTTTTAGATTTTCTAGAGATATGCTGCATCAGAGAGTTTGTTAATTTTTCTTTGACTTCCTTTCTTCATCAGAAATTAAGATCCAACCATAACAAGAACTTTTATGCTATTTCCATCTCCAGGTCATTGTATCTGTTTAGTTTTTCAAAAAAACTTCGCAGTGATGTTTTTATCACTTGGTACACTTATGTCAATCAGTGTGCAAAATCTTTCTTTTCTCTCATTGTTTAGACGATTTGCTTGTATTTGTCCCCAGAGCAGTTTTGAAAAAAAATCGCAAATATTTTACATAGATAAAGCCCTTCATAAGATGTGGACTGTATTTGAGAGTACAATTTTTTTTGTATTTCTTTATGAGGTACCAGGGATTCCTTCAATGAGTCTATCGGAATCTTTTTCAATCAATCCGAGGGATGCAACTACAACTGAAATTGCTGATGTCCTCATGTACCACATTTTTGAGATTTCGATTTCAAGTTCTTTGTATTTTGATAGTTTTTTAAAAGAGCTTCAAAGATATATTTTAGTCTACAGGGACTGACATTGTGTCTTTGCGGGTCACTAATCCCGATGTCAGGGCGATTAGCTTTGATTCTTCTGTCTGTGGGTATTGCAAAATCCCATAAAAATGTTACAAGTCCTATTTCCGGGTTGCAGTTTCCTTTCCGTAAGCGTTGCAGATTTTCCAGTGCCAATCTGTCATGACGTGTTTTATATTCAGTGGGTGCTAATACCGCGCAACCTGATACAATTGTTTTGGGGTATTTATCACAGAATCTGCATTTTGGACTAACACACCTTTTCAGTATGTGTGTTTGGTAATGTCTAGTTAATAAACATTGATCCTGTGCAGCAAGAATAAAACCTTCAGTTTCAGCTTTTAACCCTGCACTACGTAACCACTGATGTGTACGGGCTTTGTCTACATTGGCTTGTTTGGTACGGGCAGAGTATTGACCGTGAAGCGGTTTATCTTACCATATCTTTCTGTATCTGATCTGTTGCATTTGTCTTTGTTTTCTTTTTAAAGTATTTTGTACTTTCAGTCAGTCTTTTATAGTTTACTTGTGTTTCTTCACGCACTTGAAACTCCATTTTGAACTTGTTGACTTCCTTTATTACTGAATAAAGTTTCTTAATTCTTTCATGTTCTTTGACACAGATCATAATCCAGTCTTCTGTAGTTTCCCGGTATCTTTGAAGGCCGATTATTGTAGCTTTGTAAGACAGTTCTAGTTAAAATAATTCTCTGTCTCCTTCGGATCGGGGCACATACAGACGATCAACATCGGCTTTGGGATGATGCATGCGGTGGCAGGTGAAAAGCCTTCTCGTTTTGGAGTCCATTCGCATAATGTCAATTATGTTTAAGTTAAGAATGTTGAAACTGTATTCCACCACAGGGACAGCCTAAAGTGTTTATAGCTGATATTCTGTTTTTTGAATTCAGCTTGGTCTTCAATACCAGACGTACACATCTGTAGTATTCAAGTCTTATCTTCTTCGTTTGGGTATGCTCAATTCCATCTCGTCCGCCAATTCCTAGGTACCTATAGGCTTCTTCTTGTCCCAGTTCCCTAAACTTTGTGACAAAGTTCAACTCTATTTTGTGTGTTTCTGTAATTCTCCCTTTCTTGAATGTTACCGTTGCACATTTATCTAGACCGAAATCCATACCTATGTCGTCACTGAAACATTTTATAATATTAAGGATACTCTTCAAGTCATTGCCGTCTTGGCAAAGAGTTCCAAATCATCGATGTAGAGTAGGTGATTGAGTACATTCTTGTTTACTTCGTAACCATAGTTATTTATTTTTAGTTCATGCGTAAGGGGGATTAAGGACGTACAAAACAGGAGGGGGTGACAGGGAGTCTCCTTGAAAGATTCCTCATTGCATATTCAGGCAGTTGCAAGTGGCATTGCAGCTGGTGTGATTTAGGTATAATGTGGTTTTCCACATTCCCATGCTGTATTTAAGGGAATTTACTATCACGGGGGAGACTTTTTACATTTCCAAAGTCTTAAGTATCCAAGAGTATGGCACACAATCAAAGTCTGTCCATGCTGTGCTAAGATTTCTACATCGTATCCTGCAATTTTCCAGGATCATTTTGTTTATTAGTAGGTGATCTTTGTAACCACATGAACCTCTCTGGCATCCCGTCTGTTCCAGTGGAAAAAATGCTGTTTGTTTCGAGAAAAGAGTAAGTACGGTTTTTCAGGACATACGTGATCAATTTATACGTGGTGGACAGATGTTTTTGGCCTATAACTATAACGGGTCATCTATTTAATTTGTTTTAGGCATGAGATATGCAATGCCTTCAGTGATCTATTTCAAGATTTCATTGGAGTTATTAATAAGTATTAATAGAGTTTTTGCAAGGGTTTATGGATTGATGAGAGATGATACAGCCAGAAATTGGGCACCTTAAAATTTCCCGTGGATTTTCATTCTTACGATTTCGTTAGAGCTTGCTTCGTGGTTATATTTTCCCACACTTGTCGAGGTTTATCCAGCATTTTTTCTTCTCGTTGGATCCATTCTGCATCGGGGTTATATTCCTTTGGGCTACTCCAAATATCCTCCCAAAATTTCTGGACTTTGTCAATAGATGGAGGCTTTTTGTCATGTATAACTGCTTTTTTCAATTTACCTTTAAAATTTCTCCGTTTGGAATATTTTATTTTGGCGATAGAATCTGTAACATTTTTCGTATTGTTTTGTTCTCTGTGCCTTTAACTGCAGTTTCTGTTTTAGCATTTCCTTGATTTATTAGCGTGTTGAGACATTTGGGTTTCTAATGAGCTCATCCTGTATAGTAATCTCAAATCTGTTTTCCTTCATTTCTCACTTCAATTTTGCTTTCCAAGCTGCCACTCCTTGTCTTTTGTTTGATCCTTTTCATTGTCTTGACTCCAATCTTCTCAGTAGCTGCTAAAGCTGTTGTATATATAATATTGTTAACTTCTGTGGTGTTTCCCAGTGGTTTGTACGTTAACAGAGTTTCCAGTGTAGCATTGTATATTTGCACAGTGTGCTTATTGGATTTTGTTATATGAATTTTTGGAAGCCGGTCTCTTTCTGGCATTTGTGTGAGAATTTCTCTGCTGAGTACTTGGATGATGTGGTTTTTCGTTTCGATGATTTCACCTCTGTGATTTTCAAGGAATTCTACCTTAATGTAGTTGGACTCATCTTCAGTGACATCGTCTGAATACCTGCAGATTATGTCACAGGTAGATTCTTCGGTTTTATTTCCTGGGAGATTATTATTTTGTATCTCATTTATTTTAGTTTTTGCCTCATCCTTTGTCATATTATTTATTTCTACTCTCATATCTTTATTGTCTGAGTGATGGCTTATAGTATTCTGTCTTATATCTAATTTATCTTCTTTATTTCTGTATTTGAGAGTCTTTTGTTTCGCACGATGTCCCTGCGGACATTGGCAAGCATGTTTGGGTTGAGATGAGGTCTTATTTCACTTCCTACCATAGTTCACCATATTTGGTATGTCTGATTCGTGGTATTCTAGATTTTCGAATGCGGTGAAAAAGCATGCCATGACTTGTTGATACTCTTCGCGAGACCATTTCGTTCGCTTTCTTTTTATTAGTTGATTTGGTATTGAGTCACTTGGTCTAAGGTTGGAAATAGTCCAAGTTTGGTGACCAAGCGTCTCTTCGTTGTTGGAAGTATTTGTTCCAGTGACAGATTTTTCGGCTCCAGACTGGTTCTCTCCGAGGTACGCGCCTCTTGTTGACCTGAGGTGGGGGTGTTCGTAATCAGTGAGATTCATAATTTCTTGCGTTTTATCCTTGACCGCCAAGGGTAATTTTGTTCAAGTTAACAACTCTAGGACGATTGTCGATCAAGACCAAAGAGCTCGTTCTACCCATTAGATAGGAGAGGGAGGGAATTATATTCAGATTAGAGGGGGAATTATTATTATTATTATTATTATTATTTTACTTTTTTTACTATTGCTATAATTAACAGCTATGGTAAAGTCTTCATTTATAAGCGTTTGGATCCCAAGGAGATACGACATAACTCCAATTTTCAACTGAATTTTCTTTTACTTTTTCTCTCTTATGTTCAATAATATGAAACTATATTCAAATCTCCCTAATCCTGTTATTACACGAATATGTTCTACACATAAATAAAATTAATATATAGTAACTATTATTATTATTAATATTATTATTATTATTATTATTATTAGTAGTAGTAGTAGTAGTAGTATCTATTTAAAAATAAACTGGTACACAGACATACGTATATCTATTCCCAAACAAAAACCCGATCTGCTCCGAACCTCGTGAGTAATTTGAGACAATTCCCATCGTTCTGCCATATAACACTTATCGGTGTATAACCCAATAACTAGGCAAAGAATACTTAGGAAAAGAATAAAATGTAAAAATGTATTTATAACACTTAAGCATTCGATTGTCGATAACATACCGTGTATCCATGAAAGAAGTTGGCCTAATCGGATGGGTCAAGCTTTCTCCTAAAATATGATGAACAACAGGACACGTGTACCAGTGTACTACATTAAGTTGAAAAGATTGATAAATTAAATCCTCTATCAAGATAAACAGCCTTTCCAGCCTATTTTATACATCTTTTGAACTGTTACGAAAAAGAGCCAATTTTATATAGAATTATACAATGAAAGTGTTCTTAGAGTCTGCAATCATTTCCTTTAGCTGCTGATATTTAGTTCATGGGAAAGAATCCCCAAATTCTGAATGGATACTACGTTGCGATTGTTTAATGCGAGTTAAGTCCTTGTTTCTCAAAAATGCGACATAGGAGGTGTCAAAGGAATTCGAACGGCATCACAGCGTTGCAAGTTAACAGCCACATCACACAGACACGGTTTCTTGGCCTCGACTTTATTTATGAAGTCTGGATCACCGCTTTATTGAATCTCAATACTTTGGTGCTTCCGGCCGCATCATGTTGAAACATGGGTTACCGTACAATCACAGAAGTTAAGCAATGTTGAGCCTGTCTAGTTCCTTCATGGGTGACCACTTGGGAATACCAGGTGCTCTAATGCTTGGATGTGCAGGTGATGTAATGGATAATGATTCGAAATTGTTAATCGGAGTTCTAATTCTAGTCGGTTTCGTTTTACTCACGCGTAAATACCCTGGAGAAAGGTATAAATTCATATTTTATCTCCCCCTCAGCTATGGGTTAATAAGTCTTGTATCACTAAATTATTATTATCTGAAAAAATAAAAATTCTTACAATCCGAAAATATTTTCTGGCTTTAAATAAAAGGCAAAGGGTTAGGAAGCCGTCAAAAACGAATCAATAAACAAAACGGCCTTGCATCTTTGATAGCGGAAAAAGTGGGCCTTTCTTGCCATCCCCCCCTGTATTATGCTTCATCGCAAAAAAAAAAAAAATGAATAAAGTTAGCGTCGCTTGTTTAAAAGAAACCTGAGTCGAAGCCAAAATAAAGATAAGAAGAGGGAAAGAAAATGAAACATATTGAGAGGTCCCTGTCAAAAACGCTGTTGTGTTTGCTTCTAAAAATGGTTTCTGGGTATTGTGAACAGAGCTTTAATAAGGCTATGTAATCTTCCTTTTGTCAATATTCGCCGATGACAGAAGAGAGTGGAAGGGATTCGTGAACATAGTCGCTGCTAATTACAGGGTAGACGTCGGAGAAAAGAAGGTCGTATTTACTTAAGTAGCATTGATCCGTTACTTGTGTCAAAAATCGCGTGTCTGAGAGGCAAAGTCAACAAGGACTCACTTTCAATGGGAAGAAATACATGCAGAAACATGACAATCAACGGCTCCGTTTGGTAAATAGCAAAGAGATTAGGCAACAATACGAAGCTATATCGAAAACAGTATTCGTCTGTTTGTATGTCACATGATTTAGAAGCATTTTGCATTAACCAATATACTCTAAAGACAGACACACACACACACACACACACACACACATATATATATATATGAAGAAGAATATACGGAAAAAACAAACAAAAATCCTAATATGCAATTATGCTGTTTTAATGTTAATATAATGTCAACGTCGGACGTTTCGGTCTAATAGACCATCTTCAGGACATATTCATAAAGCATAATTAACATATTTAAACGGAACGCTGATCTTATAAAAGATTTCAGTTATCTGTTTGGATTGGTCTTGCTCTTATGTCCATCGTCTTTTTCATGTTGAATTGAATATGGTCTATGTTAATTATGTTATATGAATATGTTCTGAAGATAGTCTATTAGACCGAAACGTCCGACGTTGACATTATATTAACATTAAAACAGCATAATTGCATATTAGGATTTTGTTTTTTTCCGTATATTTTTGTTCATACTGTCGGATCTATATCCATATATTTTTATATATATATATATATATATATATATATATATATATATATATATATATATATATATATATATGACCCCACCCCAGCAATTTTTTTAAAACTAAAGAAAAAGGTTTAAGTTATTGCCTATCAACAACAGCAATAACAACAGCAGCAGCAGCAGCAACAACAAAAACAACAACAATAATAATAATAATAATAATAAAGAAAATGAAAGTCGCAAGCGACTTTAATAATGTAAGCCAACAAGTTCAAAATGGAGTTCCAATTCAGTGAAGAAATGCAAGTGAAGCAAAATACACCGACTACAGCTGCAAAATACTTAAAAAAAAAACGCAATGGCAAATGCAACTGACCAGATACAGAAACGTTGGCAAGATAAACCGCTTCACACCCAATACTCAGCCCTTACCAAAGAAGCTTATGTAGACAAACCCTGTACCCATCAGTGGTTAAGTAGTACAGGGTTAAAAAATGTCATTAAAACAGTATAGAAGCTGTATTAGAAAATAAAAAGAATATGATACTCTGGCATTATGAGATCCAGTCTGATCGTCCCGTCCATACGAGAAGACCGAAGCTGAAAATTTGGATAAAGAGGACTTTAAAGCGATTTTAGACACGTGGCTCTACCAGCACATCGCAGGGTGAAGACGAAAGAAAGCGGATAATTATAAAGAAAACACACAACCTCGTCTAGGATCTGAGAAAACTGTAGAATACAAGAATTTATTTAATGCCCATAATAACAGGATCACTTGTAGCTCTACCAATAGCATTAAAATCGGTATTGAATGAATTAGTAATGCTCTAACGAATTGATATACACTCGTATCTTTTCTTCTTTTTATGTGCCGCGTCCTTTCTGGGCGTAGGTGATCGTGGCTCTCCACTTCCTCCCTATCCCTTGTAGCTCTCAATAACTTACGTCCCTCTGCCACCTCCTCCAAACCACGTTCTGTCATCCACTTGCTTAAGCCCGCTAGGTATGCCATGCTTTGTTTTCCCTTGTCTCTCTTTCCCTCTATTCGACCCGTGAGTATCATATTCTCCAGGTCCTCCATCCTCATTAAATGTCCCAGAAACTTCAGCTGCCTCTTCCTGATGTTAAGTATAAGCCTTCTCCTTGTTTGCATCTTCTCCAAAACCTTATCGTTGCTCACACGCTCGGTCCATGGTAACCTCAGCATCCTTCTGTAGAACCACATCTCCGTCGCCTCGAGTCTCTTCTTCACCCTTGAGGAAATTGTCCAACATTCTCTGCCGTAAAGAAGAACAGATGTCGCATCAGCTCAGTATTCTTTTCTTTGTTACCAAAGAAATCCTCCTGTCTTGCAATACTCTGCCCAGCTTTTTGGAATGTGTTCTTGGCCATCCCAATACATCTACGGATCTCAGTGTCGCACTTACCGTCCTCTGTCAAGACGCTTCCCAGATATTTAAACTTCTGCGTCTGCTTGATTCTAGTGTCCCCAACCTGCAAATCGCATTTTGGGTTCATCCTTTTACTGATGACCATGTACTCTGTCTTGTAGTTTATGCTTAATTCTTTTTTTTTTGTAGCGAAGGAGAGAGTCTGTATCATGATAATGTTAAAAGTATAAGAGCCGTTTAAAAAATCTGAAGGGACTTGCTGCCACTTTATCCTCAGTGATGACCATTAGAAAACTCGTGTGAACATCTAAATGCATAAATAATAATAATAATAGAAAAATCTTTAAAAAATTTTATCATTTCAGGATTCGGGAAAGAAAATAAACTGCGTTTTTATACGCAATAAATCATTAAGAAAATAAAAGAAACAAAAATCAAAAATAAAGACGAAAAATGTAAGAAAGGAAAATGTAATTAAGATAGTTGGAGTTGAATCTGAAAAAAAAAAAAGAAAGAAAATAAAGCATTATGGAGAATAAACATTAAACTCTGCAAATTCTTTGTTTTTGGCGTTACTTTTTATTTTCTTTTGTATTTTTACATCAAACCAGACGATAGCATCATTTCACAATCTCTCATACTCAGTTCGGACATGACAAAAATGCCTCATGTTTTTTGTTTATATAATTATCAACTGTTCGACGTATTTCTTCACATACAATGAACAAAATGTGGTTTATTATTCGCCTCATGAGTCTTTGTTTAGGCTACACTTTTCTAAATCAAGTTCGCTATGTAGCATCGGCTGCACGCGAACCGTGTGACTGGAGTTGTATACCCGGGCCAAAGTTTCGTCTCCACAGATTCTTACCCAGTAGGCGAAGCCGAGTATACACTGACTCTATCCCTGACAGAGGGGGTAATATATCCAACAAAGGGGTCAGATTTCTGGGTGGAAGCTTGTTAACGTAAGTATAAATCCGATTATTATTTACCACAAGTGAAACAAAAAACAAATTTAAACATTAAATAACCCAAGAAGGGTTGATATTTTGTAAAATCCACTAACCCAACCGAACCAATTTGCGTCCTGGGTATGACGATAAACTACACCCGCGTTCTGGGTAAGACGATAAACTACACCCGCGTCCTGGGTAAGACGATAAACTACACCCGCGTCCTGGGTATGACGATAAACTACACCCGCGTCCTGGATATGACGATAAACTACGTACAACAGCAAGGCACCATGATCAGGAGGTTTTGAGGAGCGTGGAACCACCTCTAAATTGTTGATGTTCACCCTGACCCGGGGTGGTAGTACCTGTTAGGGTCCCAGCTATGGGCAAAAGTTAACCCCAACACTGGTGGCCAAAACACTATGAAAGCGTAAAAATAGGTTTTAATATCAGAAATACTTTGTAAAAAAGTTCTTACCAGCAATACATTATTACCAGCTATACATTTTTGAAGAAAAAATGTTACCAGAAATAGATTTTTGAAGGGAAAAATATTAACAGCAATACATTTTTCAAAAATAACCATCAATAAAATTCTTGTCAGCATTAAATAACCCATTGAGGTTGATATGTCGTAAAACAAACCAAACCAAACCAAACCAAACCAAACCGAACAATGTTCAATT